GCCATGACTTTTGAAATATGATGGAGAGGTTTTGCAGCTGCATCTGCCTGTTCTTTCAGGACCCGCGGATGTATTCCATCGGGTCCCATGGACTTGTGCACCTTCAGGTTCCTCAGGCGTTCCCGAACCTGATCCTCGCTGACCATGGGTGGCTCTCCATTCTCCCAATCCCTGCCCTTGTCTTCCGTGACTTTGGGGGTCCGGCTTGTGCCCTTGCCAGTAAAGACCGAGGCAAAGAAAGCATTGAGTACCTCGGCCTTCTCCATGTCCTGGGATGCCAGCTCTCCCGTTTCCTTCCTCAGAGGGCCCACATTCTCCCTGACTTTCTTCTTATCCCTTATGTACCTATAGAAGCCCTTCTTGTTGGCCTTGATGTCCCTGGCCAGGTTCAATTCTGTCAGGGCTTTGGCTTTCCTAAGCTGATCTCTGACCTCTCGGGCAACTTCCCTGTACTCCTCCCAGGCCACCTGTCCCTGCTTCCACTCACTGTAGGCTGCTTTTTTCTGCCTCACTTTGTCCAGAGTCTGCTTATTCATCCACGTAGGCCTGCGGCCGCTTTTACCCAACTTTTTCTTTGTTGGGATGCAGCTTGAGTATCTGTAGGACTGAGCCATATGAATGATAAAAAGACTGAAAGCTATGTACTCTTAAAATACTTCGTCATTTTTGGTTTTAGTATTTGGAGGGGGAAAGTGTCACTAACTGCAGTTGTCTTATGCTTGCTGATTTAAAACTTAGTATTTCATTTCCGAGATTATAATTTAATATGGAAGTTAGAGTAATTTGAATGGGTTTAAACTGATTTCTGTTGAAGGCAGTGGCTGTAACTAACAAGATTTGTTTATAGAGGAGTTGCAAATTAACAGTAATAAAGCATCATGTAACTTTCAGGCTGCAAAACAAACACACCCCTCTGTATTCAAAGATACGGGGTAAGGATCAGTATGTAGATTTTTTTTTTTTTGATGACCAACATCTTTTAAAATGAGTTACTGTCCTGGTTTTGGCTGGGCTAGAGTTATTTTTTTTTATTTTTCCTAGTAGCTGGTATGGTGCTGTGCTTTGGATTTCGCATGAGAATAATATGGATAACACACTGATGTTTTAGTTGCTGCTGAGTAGTGCTTATGCTAGTCGAGGACTTTTCAGTGCCTCCTGCTCTGCCATTGAGAAGCTGGCAGGGGACACAACTGGGCCAGTTGAACCAAACTGGCAAAAAGGATATTCCATACCATATGATGGCATGCTCAGTATATAAAGCTGAGGGGAAAGCTGGCCAGGGGTGTGTGATTTAGGAACTGACTGGACATTGGTCAGTGGGTGGTGAGCAACTGTGTTGTGCATCACTTGCTTTGAAAATCTATTATTGTTGTTATTTTATCTTCTTTTCTGTCCTATTAAACTGTATTTATCTCAACCCACAAGTTTTACCATTTTTCTGGTTCTCCTTCCCATCCCACCATGGGGTGGGGGAGAGGGGGGGAGGAGTGATTGAGCGGCTGCATAGTGCTTAGTTGCTGACTTTAAACCATGACAGTTCCATTTATAATAGATGTGGTCTGGATAGCAAAGTAAGGCAGAGGATGGAATGAATGGTTTTGAATGGCAGCAACAATAAAGAATGCTTCCTTTCTAAAGTGATAAAAACTTGTCTCTCTTGTGTGATTCCTGATTAGACCATTAAATTCCTGAGAAGTACTGCTAAATTTGAGCTAGCTTTAAAAAAAGTGATGGTTTGTGTATGTTGTGTGTTTCTATTGTGACATGGTGTTATAAATACTCATTCCTATCAGTGACCTTTTTTTCTTTATCTTCCAAGGCTGCTGAAACCACTCAAAGTGATAAGAGTGTCTCATCAGGGGAAGCAAGCAAGGGAAGCATTCATTTTCCGCCTAATGAAACAAAACTAGATTCTCAACTAGAAAACAAAGACCTAAATACCAAAGAAAAAAGCCATCCTGGTATGGATGAAGATGATGTAGAAGGAGATTCTTTTTTTGATGATCCTATACCTAAACCAGAAAGAACTTATGGCTGGTAAGTAACATGGATGTTATACTTAATACAGGTGTATTTTGTCCCTGGTATGTTTGCAGACCTTTGATAGCTAGCTGATGTTTGGTTATTCACACTTGTAAACATGAGTGTTTAGGTCTGCTCTGTGGCATTTTGTTTCTGAGTTGTGCATTTCTGTGATTATTTTCTTTGAAATGCACAGTGTCATCTGGGTTCTCTTGGGTGTACCATGAGTGGAAAAACCTATGTCACTTTCAGGTGCATTAGACTATATAATGTCCCCAGCCTGTTTGGTGGAGCGAACATAAATGAGGCACAGACATCTGTGTTTCCTCTTGCAGCAGAGCTGCAGTGGTGAGGCATACAAAAGGAAGTGGACAGTGACAGGGACAGTGCCCCATATATTTGTATGGCTTTGTAAGGAGTACAGAAAATCTGGTAAATGTGTAAACTGACTCTATAAACTGTGAGAATAATGAAAATTCTCATAGCTGAGGGTTTCCTCTCTTACACTGCAGCACCTTTTGAGTACAGGTCTAGGTTTTCAGTGAAGTGTTATTTCTGCATATGCTAATTTTCCAGACACTTCACAAGAGCTTGCTTTTTTTCATTTTTCATCTATGGAGTCTGATGGAAAAGTACCAATTGAAACAAGAACTACTGACTGAACTATACACCCTTTTTTCTAAAACTGAAGAACCAATCTTTGGTATCATCTTGCGCTATCTCGAAGCTTAGTTTGGATATCTCTATTGAGAAATGCTGCAAGATCCTTTCAGGGTGTTCTTTTGCTGTGCTTGAGTCATTGGAGAATTGCTCTAGCATAGTGGAGTTTACCAGGAGAGGTTGCAGAAGCATTTGCAAGTCAGTTTGACTGTAGCTCCCCTCATGTTGGATGTTCCCTCCAGCTGTGTCAGTAGTAGGCAGAACAGCATAAGCCTTTTTGTGTTACTGCTGTAGCAGATGCTTACTCCTTGAGTGGGCTCACTCTGGTACAGCACAGAGCAATCGTACCAGGTTAACTACATCTCTTTCCAGTAAATTAATGGATTCTGAGAAAGGTTATTTATAATACAGCTTTCAATTAATGTGTTTAGTTCAAGCAGAACATTTTTCCTCAGAGTGGTGATTTTTTAAACACACACCCACCCCCACCCCCCCCTGGAAAATACTGTGTTACAAATAACCTTACTGTGGTATTTCTTCTGTCTTTCATGCTGGAAATATCAAGATTAAAACTGCATTTAAGTCCTTTTACTTCTCCTTACTCAAGAGACATAATCTGTTTTAGTTGTAAATCAAACTAATTGAAATATTGAATTATCTGTGAATCTTTCTTCTTTTGGCTGCATTTACATGTGGGCACAGTGAAAGGCCCCTTGATAAAAATAGTGATGCTGATGAAGGTGCAGGAGCTCTGTCTGTGAAAGAAGACAGGCACAAGTCTTTGCATAGGTGAGAAAGTGACTTTCTTACTCAGTGTGTTGCTTGACACTTGTGCTGGTAAACTGCATACTGTTTTTCAGGTTGCAGAATGAACAGTCCTTTCCCCTTGTTCTGTTTGCTGTAAATGTTGCTGCTCTAGTTTTGTGACAATTCAGTAAATAATAGAAGAGACTCACTATGCACGTTTTACAGCTCTTTGGAGTATTTACTATTTATTTGGTTTGTTTTAGGAAAACTGAAGCTAATAAAGCAGGAGGCCTAGCATCCCTTTCTGATGCACCACATATAAAAAGTGGGTTAAGCTCCCTGACTGGTGCACCTTCACTAAAGGAGCCTGATAGTAAGTTTTCGCTTGTCTTTGTGTGTTGATGGATGTGGGAGGCCTTTCCTGAAACGCAGTGGATGAGCTTCACGTTCAGATGGGAATGTGGTTTCCGTCTGTTGCCAGAGTCTGGTTGCAACGTGCTTTGTAGCGTTTGATACATTGTGCTACCACTGGGGGGCATCTTGTGTTTTGGAGCATGAAATACTTCTCTGCATGCCTTTTCTTTCTTTGTATGTAAAGCAGTTTTCAAGAGTATAAAATCCTTCTGCTCAGTTTTCAACTGAAATTAACTTATTCCTTTGTATTATCATCTTACATTATTTGCACAAGTTCTTTAGGGATATTTGCTTTCGTGCTGTGAAACTTGATCCTCAATACTGGGAGATTGTCCCTGTTTGCTACTCATGTTTTTAAATGCTAGCAAAGACATTTGTTGTTAGACCTGAAAATTGGATAAATATTACCATACTACAAAGTTTATATAAAAATTATTATAATAAGATACTTAGAAATGGTTGATGGGTATGTTTAAGTGGGATCTCGTTAAAGAATCACAAGTCAAATTTCTGATATAAATGCTTTTGTTTTGATACAGGTTTGAATAGAAACTCTGTGTTGAAAGACTTGCGGTTGGTGAATGCAAAACTGGGATCACTAGAGTTAGGCAAGTAACTGCTAAACATGAGGAAGCTCTGATATTTTTTTAAGTGTAAGTTGTGGCCCGACTTCATAGGGGGATCTAAGAAACTGAAATACACATAGAACTAATAGCTTCAGCTGTACTTCTGTCACTCTGTTTAACACCATTGTGAAACTTACTGGAGTTGAGAGCAAGATCTGCTCTAAAGGCTTACAAAAATGTGAAAACTGGTGTCTTGCGTGTGGATTAGTATTTTACACGTGCAGCAAAAATTTGATTTGTTCCTTGCATACATTTGCTAATATCAAGTGATAAATGTTGTCTACATCCCTAAGAAAAAGGGGGTTTTATGTTTGTGGAAAAAGATAGCCAGGCAAGACAAGTAAGCTTTAGGAGCAATATGAAGATGGTGTGATGTAAGTATCAGCTCTCTCTCAAATCACAGCTGCCAAGTATTTAAATTTTGCCTTATCAATGTAGTCAACATCCCGAAAATGTACGTTCAATTTCAAAACACTTTGGGTAACGAGATTGACAGACATAAATTCATTTTTCCTCCCTAATCTGCACAAGTAGTTCAGTCTACTCCCACTTTTGCTGGCTATCATGTGTTCTGGTGCAGGAATAGATTATGGGTTTTTTTGTGTTTCCTGAAGAGAACTTTTTTCATTAATACCTTTTAAAAATTATTTAGGAAATGGAGATGACGATGAGTATGCTGATGACTTCAACAGGTAAGAGAAGGATGATACTGCAGTAGCATAGTATTTCATGCATTATAAGCAGATCCACTAGCATATTTGCATTATTTCATAATACTTCACCTAGTTGCTGTTGCTGGAGTCTCAGTATCTCTGAACTCCTTTAAACTTTGGTTTGATATTTTAATACTTATATTTACAAATAAAATAAAAGCTAAAAACAGCAGACTCTTGTGTAGAAGTTAACGAGTTCCTTAAAAAACTGGTGCTATAACTTTAAGGTAAGTTGTTGCTTTTATGTAGCAGGTGTTTGTTGTGTTTTTTTCTTTTTTTTTCTTCTTTTTTTTCCCCTGAACCATGCACTTAGTGCTTTAATGCTGTTAGACAGTGAATACGGTGTATGCTGAAATAGTCAACTAAAAAGGCATCATGAGTAGTCAGTAATAACTACTAAACAGCCTCATCCTTATGATGTGAAGGTATTGGTGTTATAAACAGCAGGGTTGAGGCTTGGGGATTTATCAGTGTTTATTATGGCTTCATCTATGTGGAAAGCCTTTAGTTGTTACGGGTTTCTAAGCAACTTTGTATTTAACTTGCTGGGAAGTGAAATCCCAATCAAATGTCAGGTATAAAGTCAAAATAAATGTGATACTTGGATGTTTGGAAAGAAAGTCTTATTTTTACGTTTATGGTTTTCTTTCTTTCTAGTACTAGTCATCGCTCAGAAAAAAGTGATATCAGTATTGGTGAAGAAATAGATGACATTTCTGTGGAAACAGAAGACTCAAATGCCAGTGATAAAGTATGATTCTTTTAAAATTGTTCTTGATATTCTTCTGATATTGTCTTGACTCTTTTAACCTTCCATCAAGGAATGTGCCATTAGACCTTCCTAGGACGTATGTTAAGGCTGTATTATTTGTTCTGTATTTTTAAACTTAGTAGTCTTGCTGAGTTAGATACTATAATGATTAAAAACCAAACCATCCCACAGCAGTTGTTTGGTAGCATAACTTGCTGTTTCTAGGCATGTAAAAAATATCTGGGACTAGTTTTAGTATCCAGGATAGGAATGTCTTACCCCTGTATCTTAAGATTTGAGCACCTCCTAAAGGAGTAGGAAATCTCTATGAAAGATCTTGATGCTAAAAGGATGGGATGCTGTTTGAAGGACTACAAGAAATAATACTGTTTCTATGATTTCTGAGTTTGTAATCTGATTTATTTTCTAGCTTGAAGGCGTCACGCAAGACCTTACCATTTCTCAGTTAAGTGATGTTGCAGATTATTTAGAAGACGTGGCATAGAATTGGACAGCTAAAATGTTTTGCTCTGCTGAACTAGAAGACTGCTGTGGACTGTTAATTTCAGACAATCACTTTTTGCTGGAATGTCCACTCCCTATTTGTGCCTTGTGTTTCAAAAAGACTGTAGGAGGAGAAGGCTTTTAAATATTCTTGAGAAGAACTAAATGAAATGGTGCGTTCCCACTTGAGTCTGATAGCGGAATTATTTTCTTCATTTGGTTCAGCCAAACCTTTTACATCAGAAGGTGGATTTTCCAAGCAGAATGTCCATTGCTGGCAGTGGGCATAATAAAAACCAGTTGGTAAGAGAACATCTACAGAGAGGTATGTGGCTTTATGATGAACTTGCACTGTTACTGTAACAGTCTGAGTTTTTTAAAGATAACCAAAGCAAGAACCTTCAGAGATAGTGGTTCAACTCACACTTCTTTTAACACCGTTGTGTCAAGTCAGCATGTAGTACATCTTTTTGGTAACTCCAGCCACAATACCTGATTTCTCCAGACTTACTTGAAACTGCTGTTTTTCAGACTCTTCTGAAAGTTGGGCTTTTTTTTTTTTTAAAGGCATATCAAATTGACAGTATCTAAACTCAAATATAAATTTAGCTGCATTTAGGAGCTAAATTTAGCAGTAGTCTTAACTCCGAATATTCTTGTTTAAATATGTTTGTGAGACCATTAACGTTGAGATCTAAGCTGGTTTTATATCTGATAATTTCATTGATGTTATTTGTTGTTAAATCACAAAGTAATTTGTAAGGATCCACAAATCATTAACTAAATCATACTGGTTTTTAAGTTTTTAACAGTGTGTGGTAATGGTTTGTGGAGCTTTTATTATTGAGGGCTCTTCCTGTGCTGTAAGCTCACTTTCATTCTTGAAAAATCCTTGTTATGCAGAAATGAGCACCAAGAAGTGAAGCCACTAACCTTCTATTTTTCAGATTCTGACTGCTGTACAGAATTAAATCCAAATATTTAAAATTACCATACGGAAGACCTTATGGACACTAAGTTCTAGCTAAGAGCAAATTGTTGCATTTTCATTATACTCTTGAAGAACAGGGTCAGTATGGAAACATTAACGTTACTGTTGAACATGGTGCCGCTATAGTATATAGGTCATGGACGTTTGTAATACTGAAACAAGACTTCAAAATGTGCACTTTCTGAACATTGTGAACACATTTGGAAAATACATGTGAGTGGATATAAATAACTTAGTTCTTTTTTTAAGGCTTTGTAATTTTTTTCGGGAGCGCCGTTGGCCTCTCATCACTGGCCACCACAGTGGACGTAGCATGCTAAACTGAAGCCATTGTTTAAGCATATAGAGCTGCTACTAGCAGTGGGTGCTGACTTGGGTCTTAATTTGCACTGGTCCAGCAGGCATGGAGGAGTGCTGGGAAGTTATGCTTGTACAGTACATACATGATTTGAGACGAGAGAGGGAAAGTGTGCCTTTTATTTATGCGCACCCCAAAATAGCCAGCAAAAAAGCATCAGAATATTTTGTCACATTGTTAACTTCTAACTTTGTGCCATATTGTAGCAGCTGAACACAGAGGAGAATTGGTTTTTTTAGGTTGAAAAAAATGTGCCATAGACTTCAAATAGCAACAATATTGTAACATATGATGCATCCCGTGTACAAAACTCCTTTAAGTATGGGGGAACCTGTGCCTCAAGATACTATGTACAAAAAATTTGTTTTGGGCTTTTTTCTTTTTTTTTAATTTTTTAAGAACACCAGCATGTCTGAAGGAAATAAAATTCCACTTGAACACCTGGGAGCAGTTGACTTCTGGCATTCATTTTTAAGGTGTAAGGAATAATGTAGAGACAGTGTTGTTCGCTTTTTTACTTGTCTTGGGAAAACGTAATGTTCCATTACCTGTAGGGTATGTGGCAATTTATCATACCAAAAGAAACAGACTTTGTAAAATGATTTCTAATTGCATTTGAAGATGTGGCCTTTAAAAGAACTGATTAGATATTTTAAGTGTTAACATGACTTGTGTTAACAGCAAAGTGTTGTTCTCTTACCTTGGGGGTTAACTGGAGGCCTTGCACTTCAGCTCTAATTTAAGGAAATGCCAAAAAGTGGTAAGTCTCTATGCTGTTCCTCCTGTGGGCTTTTACTGAATTGTGTATAATAATTCAAATTGAAAAATAAAGCTGTTGTGCTAGCTAAATTGTATTTTGGAGACTTCTTGAACTAAAAATGTTAATGTTTAGGAAGCCCTGTGGGTTCGGGGGGATTTTCTTGAAAAATGTGTTTTTTCAGAGTTAGTCCAGTCTGCAGCTGAGAATGTGTGCGTGCTCAGGTTTCTTCTAAGCCCAAAGGATCTTGCAATTCCTGATGGTGAATCCTAAAGTCTGATCAAGACCATACTGAATAGGGTTATGGGGTGTCGGTCCCAGTTGTCACATGGTTTGATTCAGCAAGGGGAATAAAAATACCCAATTTTGACTGGCAAAATTGTCTTGTTTACCATTGTTAATTTAGGTTACTTTAAACCTGACTGTCAAGCCAAGCTTTCTTGAATGCTTGCTTTTCTGTGTGCCTCAAACCATATTGTTTGGTATTTTGCATTGGGCTTCTCCCTGAATGACCTCATGCAGTTGAATACACAACCTCATCTGTCTGTTAGAAGTAACAACTGGAGCCATGTCTTAAAAGATGGGAATGTTCCTGTCTAAGTGGTGTTCTGTGGTTCCACCTTTTCGCAGGCATCTCAGTGAACAGAGGAAGAAATGTCTGAGAAGGGCACTTAGGACTGCTCTGTGCAGTTCTCTACCAAGTATGTCTGGTTAGAAACATGTTTCTTTGTTAAACGATCAGACTCTGTAATTTTTTTTAACAAATCCTGTGACTTCCAGGAGTAAAAAATGAAGGACTTAAGCCATGGCTGACAGTTCCCCATACCATTAACATGGCTGCAGTAATGAGGATGGATTATAAAAATACCAGTCTCAATTTTTTTGTAGTGCATTTACTGTATTTCATTCTTTCTTCCTCAAGTAAAGTGAGAAACCATTGCACCTCTGATAAAGTATTCCCTCTGAAGTGATGTTTTCTGCAGCTGTAATGAAACCACTCTCAGGCTTTAGACTGTTTTCACGAGATAGTCGTTATTTAGGCAATTTATCTAGCTTTGGGACTACTTCTGTAATTGACAGGGTGATTGGGTGATGATGATGATGAAGGGGTTTACTCCTTTGCTTTATAGTGCAGTAGTTTTTCACTGATAAAATACTTTGTAGAAAGCCCAGCCTTCTCTTCAGAAAAGAATGCAACTGTGGATATTTCAGTTTGGTTGTAGATGAAAGCTGACAAACTAGTCTTAGCATTGTCTAGGCAGCAGGAATTAAATCTCAGGATGGCTACAGTGCTGTGTGCTCACTTCAGGAAAGGCTGGATGCATCTTTCTTGGCAGGGCTTTCTGGTTTGACCTTTTCCTTGTAAGGCAGAGCCAAGGGAGAGGTCTAACTGAATTGTAAGAGTTTTAATAGGTCTGTAAGTGATCTTGCTCACCGTTATAGCTGGCCTGTAGAGGCTTTAGTGTCATGAATGCAGTATTGTAAAAATGTAACTTGCAACATATGACTGTCTTGATTTCTGCAAAAAAAAGACTGAGCTGTTCAACCTCCTGACAAATGTGTAACAAACATCAAGAAGTGTCAGTTCCTTTCTTTATATATCATGAATGGTACTCAATTCTTTAGATTTTAAAAAAGGGGTGGGGGAGGGTGGTGTGCCAAAAGCCCAATGACCTTTTATCCAGTTTTTGGTTTGGGGCTGCTGAGTTTGGTGCTAAGATTTATTGCTGTAGTGATTATTATTTTCTTTTTTTAATACAGAAATAGGAAAACTGGATTTAGCTGTCCTTGCGTGTACAGTATGTTACTTCTTTGGAATATTGCCGTAGCGTCTTCAAGTCAGTCACGGTTCAAAACTTCTGGTGTAACTTCTTCCAAAAGATTTATTCTTTTTGACACTTCAGAGGGCAGAATATAAGTGTGGAACCTGCTGTTCAAAGAAGTGCCACAAACTGTTCTCTCCCAGGCCTCGAAATGAATCGCCTCAGTCAGCTAAGTCTGTACCTTTTGGGGAAGTGCGTGAATAGCGATCCTTTCAGGACAGAAAGGGCATGGAAGGTCATTCTTTTTTACTCGTGCAGTCTTCAAGCGTTGTCTGATACAGTAGTTCAGGAACAGTAGAGAGATCACAACAAAGTTGAGCATATAGATAAAAGGTTATTTTGGGGAACACTTGCTTTTTGTTCAATGAACTGAATGTTTGCTTTTAGCACTGAGGTCTTTTGCCTAAGTATGTTATTTGACTTAAGGGGACAGAGTGCTTTGTAAGCTCCTCAGGAAAGCTTTTTCAAGCTTTGTAAGCACAGGGTGGGAGAGAAAATGCAGACCTGGTGCTTATGAGCTGAACAGACCGTGGCTGGGAACAAAGCAGTGTGAGGAGCTGCACACCGAGCAGGAAATCTAATGGGACCGAGGCAGGTGTGCGTCAGGTGCCTGTGTCCAGCTCAGGGCGAGGAAACAGCCTGCCTGGTGGAGCTGACATTCATAAGGTGGGATGAGTGTAGCTAAGAGCTAGGAGGCTGGGAAGCTGCCTGCTCCATGCTGCTGGAGCACGTCAGGCTGAGAGAAAGCAGAAGGTAAAAGTACTTGGGGACTTGCTATGGCAAAGGGATAAAGGTGCACGATCCCACTTCCCTGGCCCATCAAGGCCTGTCTGTGCCTTGCCTGAGCCTGCCTCTGCAAGCGGTAGGGCTTTTGGGGTTGGGTGTGGAGACCAAAGCCTGCAGTATGTGGGAGCTGAAGGGTGTGCACGCAGGGGAGTGAGGGAGGGATAATCCCTTGCTGCAAGAAACCATGGTGACTGGTGAGGTTCTTTTCCACAAGCAAATGTGCAACAGAATAAACCAGAGAAAGTGGAAGTCTGCAGTCACAAAGCTGTGGCATTGCTGGGATAACGGGGATGTGGTGGAATAGTTTGCACGACTGGAGTGCTATGATGGATGGACACAAGCTTAACAAGCAAGGAAGAAAAGTGGAGGGGGACGGGTCTAGAGAAGAATGATCTGAATGTGCAGAGTGTAAGGGGAGTAGAAAAAGTGCTGATGACAGGCCTGCCAAGAGTTTGTCATCGTGGCTGAAGGGGAGGCCAGCAAAAGGATGTTGTGGTAGGCACTTGCAACAGACCACTCGATGAAGAAAAGAAAGAGCAGGAGGCCTTCCTTAAATAATTTGAGGAAGTCTCCTGATGGCGTGCTGTGGTTTTCATGGGGATTTTTAACCACCTCTGATTTGCAGGAAGAGCAACATGGCAGAGCACAAACAAGCTAGGAAACCTAGTATGTCAGGGACCTTGTTTTACTGGGGTGCTCGGCAGGATGGTGGGGGATACTCA